TTCTAAAAAAACGTTTAACAAAAAACAAAAAAAAAAACGAAAGGTGAAGTGGAGCAATTTGCAACTAGTTTGGGTAGAAAAAAATTCAGTAAATAACAAAATTTATTATTTTCTAGGAAAGAAAGACGAAGGAAGAAGAAAAGTGTTCTTTTGCAAATATTCTCACTTTAGCTGTATTTTTAAAACTTTTATAAAACCCGTGGTTATACAGTTTAAGAAACCAAGCTAAACAAGAAAGTTACAAACGACTAAACCACAAAACATTGAGAAAAGCGATTAAATTACAGAAGAGTAGTTTGTGCTGAACAGATTATAAAATATTTGTTAAATTCCTACAAAATTTGCACGAGAAAAAAATGTTTTTTTTTTATTTTTATTTTTTTTTATTATTTCATCTTCTTCTTCATCTTTGATTATTATAACAGTTGTCAGCTGATCAATGGTCAGCAGACGTATTTAAGTAAACATTCTGAATATGTTCGCCGAGAGAGGTTACTTATTGTAAACTGCAGAGAGTAACAGTTCCTCCAAACAGACGACAACTGTGACCAAAGAAACTTGATTCAGCAGCATACTGGAACGTGGAAATTGTTCCGGAACCTAACACCCAAATATATTAATATGTGTCGGTTCAGATACATATAACAGCATTCTGAGTACAGAACTTTGACAGCAAGAAATAAGACAAAAGTTGATGGATCTTAACTGCATTTAACAACAGACAGCAAGCAGCAGAAAACATCGGTTGTTTATTGCAAAGTTTATTAGAATAACATAACACCCAAATAATTTTCTTATATGCTATATTTTAGATAAGCAAAAAAAAAAAAAAGTTGCAAAAAACATAAGAATACAAGTTAAAATTTTTTTTTTCTGTTTTGATAGCAATAAAATTTAACAATATTAAAACTTAAGTTGCTCTTTTTTTTTTTTTTTTTCTGTTTTAGTCGATATTGAACAAATACAAAAAATTACTGTTTACAGAATCAAAAACAGTAAACCATTTGTTGTACTCAGCTGCTCAACCTATCAGTTTTGAATTTTGCAAGCAGAAAATTTTATGGAATACAATTTACTAATTACAAATTTACAGTCAACAGTTACTATAAAATTATTTCGTTTTTTTGACGATTGAAAAAAAAAAAGAAAATAAAAAAAGTAATTGAACTACTAAAACAAACTGTATTTTTTTTTTTTTTTTGTCTATCTGTATTTTAGTAAAACCAACTATCAATCACCGTTTATACTTAGCTGTAACAAAAAAAAAAAAAAAGTCGCTGTCAGCAAATGTTTACTTCTCGTCAGTTTAAAAACTATTTACAAAAAAAAAAAAACAACTTCTCAAAGTTGATGTTAGCCCTTATGAAAGGATCGAATGAACAAAAATTTAGGTTGTTTAAATAAGTGTTATCAGTAAACATTTGCTAAGCAGATAAGGTAAAGTTGATCTTTCGGGAGGTTACTGTTTAACAGCGTCAATTAAACAAAAAATGACAACTGTTTTTTGTTGTTATGACAATCCGATCTAAGTCGTTTTTTTTTTTTTTCTTGTCACTTGATCATTTCACTGTTATATTCTATCAACTCATCAATTATTTGTTGGTTTTTTGAAGTAGGAAAAAAAAAACATCCAGGAAACATTTCAGCAGCAAACTTACAAGCAAAAATTTTTTTGTCATTTCTAACATAAACCTAAATTTTGCAAAACTTATTGTCAACACTGCAAACTTATTGTCAGTTATTGACCACTTAAATTGCTGATTATCAGCACCAAACGAATAAAAACAGATAAATAAAGGAAGTTGGATACAAAAAGAAAAAAGAAAAAGAAAATACAGAAATAGATACAGAAACTGTACTGTTCAGCACAACGAAAAGAGCACCAAAGAACTGTTTTTATTTTTGAAACAGTAAAAAACAACTTTTTGAAATGTAAAAGAAATTTTAACTTAACTTTTTTTTTTTGGTTGTATAAATGTTCAAAAAGAGAAAACAAAGAACACTGTATACAATTTACAACCAATTGCCTATTTAAATCAAAAATAGAAAAAAAAAA